AAGGGGCCTTCCAGCCCGTTTGTGAGTAGCCATGTACAGAAGAGCGGGAGCCACTCTTTATCAGGAAGGAGAGGAGTTCAGTGCCCACACAGCCTTCCCTCTCTAGCCGATGCTTTGTGCCCCTGAAGCTTATTTTGTTAGGCTGGGGAGTCACACGTCGAGCACTGGTTTGCCTACACGATCTCACAGACTGGCCAGGATTTATGCCACACCACTCTGTTTTCACGTGCTTATGGCCACCAATTGGACTGGCGTGCTCTGTGAAAGCAAGTTCAATTAAAATCAATGGGATCGAGATGGAGATGAGCGCCACCCCAAAGCCGCTTCAGCTAGCAGAGTAAGGTCCAGAGCGACTCCTTTTCTTCCTTGCATGTTCACCACCAGCCTCACAAGGGATGATGAGACTATCTGCAGCACGAGTGCCCTGCTTCCTGCTGACCATCGCAGGAGAGGGGGTTCATACGAGCTGCGACAGGAGGTGCTGTTATCGGATTCATGAAGGCCAAAAGCAGTGGCTGGACATGCAAGCTGGCCTCCTATCGAGCTGATCACTCTCTGCTTGTGATGGACAATCATGTCTATTTGTTTAACTTCTCTACTGCTCGATAGCTGAAGCCCTTTGAATGGTTGACAACAGTTCCAAACAAGACCCCAATCCAATAAAAATGATTCCCCCTCCAAAATGTAAAACTAGCATTTTCAAACAATAACTTTTTAAGCATTTGAAAGTGATTTAGCAGTGAAAACAGCCTTTAATACAAAGCTGATTAGATGTGGCTACCTCACCAAGCCATTGTGTCTTGTCTAGTCATAAAGGCGTGCCTGACCCATCATGACACCATGGACAACATTCCTCCAGGCTCTCCTGTCCTCCACCATCTCCCAGAGTCCTTCTGAGCCCACACCCACCTCTCCTGTGGCCACATCCAGCCACATCAGCTTCCGCCATCCCCTTCACCTTTTACTGTCAATCGTTCCCAGCATCAGGGTCTTCCCAGCGAGTCCTTCCTTCTCGTTAGGTGGCCAAAAAGCTGAGTTTCATCTTCACTATCTGACCTTTTAAAGAACAGTCAGGGTTGATTTCCTTTCTGATTGACTGGTTTGATTTCTTTGCAGTAGCTAACCCTTAAATATGTTAAATGCCACTGCCCAAAGGGTCTTAATCTGCTGCTGGAAGGATGGCCAAGCTGGGGCCAGGCGGGCTGTGATGGGGAGAGAATGTCACAGTCATGGAACTGCTGCCCCTGGGAAGGCTGCCCCTCTTGCAACTGCTCCCCAAGCCTCCCTTGGACCTGGGCCCTGGAGGAAGCCTCCAGATGTGGGTTGCAGCATCTGGGTAGGTTGCAGCCGGGAGTGGCATCCCACCGAGAGTCGCAGTTTCAAGCCATGCATGGCTTCACTGGTGAAAACCAGCACCTTGTATCAGGCTGGGAAGCTCATCGGCAGCCAGAGCATCCAGGCAAAATTGGCCCGATCTGTTCCAAACGTCTGGTCCCACTTAGTAGTCTGGCTGCCTATACAGTTGTCAAGGGCCGCTCCCTGTAGCTTGCAGTGCAGTAATCTAATGCAGAGTAAGACCAAGTCCGTATGAGTCAGTTTGGTTGTCTATGGTCCTTCTGACTGAGGATAGTTCTGTGCATTTAAGCCCATTGCGCATAAGAGTACGATATGCTCAACAGATCATGCACAGCATTGTATTGGATCTATCTCATGAACACCACATCATCACGTGCAATAGAAGTTTTGAAGATGCAATGCCAGTCGTGTGTGTGTGTGTGTGTGTGTGTGTGTGTGTGTGTGTGTGAGAGAGAGAGAGAGAGAGAGAGAGAGAGAGAGAGAGAGAGAGAGAGAGGGATCCATAGAACTGGAGGAAGAGCTTTCATATTCCTAGGCTTCAGTGGGATGTGGACTGGACCCATGGTGTTGTGCATTGTGCCTGAATTAGTTGTTTTCATTACTGCACCTCCATAGTCTTTGCAGCACCAACCTTCAAAGTGCCTGGTGCATTTAACTCTGCAACACGCATCTCTTCAGCTCTTCCATTTCTCATAGCTAATGCAATTATTCTGCAGCACTTTAGCCAAAAGACAGCAGCCGGGCTGCCTCCATTAGCATGCTCTCTCTCTCTCCCCCCCCTCCCCATCCCCAAGAGATAGAAAGGAACAGCAAAATGGCTGCCTAGACTGTACATCCAAAATGATCCTTGCTTTCCAGAACACCATCCTGCTACACATTCAGACATGTTCACCTACGCACACCACACAAAAACACATTATGATTTGCCTGTAGCCACCAATGGAAACCCTAAATACTTCTAACAGAGGCAAGTCCTGCTGTCTGCAGTGGAATTTAGCCTCAAATTAATGTTTTCCTCCTCACAACATTCTCATTCTTCACAGAACCAAAGCAATATTAATCTCTGTAAATGTGGCACACAACAAGAATAGAGAATAGCTGGCACTGTAGGAAGATGTTGCAGTATGGAGTGATCCCTTTCAGGACCTCAGCCAGCCATACCCTTTTCCAGGATACTCCATTTCACTTGTTTCCATTTTATTTCCCCCTGCCCCCATCAACCACCCCTCCCAACAGACGCTTTCCCGTAGCCACCAAACATCACAGCCTTCATTGCTGGTCCCTTTTGCTTTTATCTCCTTGGGATTTTTTTGAAGGATCCCGTGCTCCAGTTCTCCCGAGCCTGCTGTACTTTCCTCTTGTGCATGGATGGTACTGTTTCAGCTCCATATTGATTGGCATGCAGAGACAGTGATTTTGCAACCAATACAAACAGGGTTTAAATAGCAGGATGGATAATTTGGTGAGACACTTGTATCCTTGTCACACCAGGACTCACAGTACAACATGGGAACTCAGAGTTGTGTGTTCCCCATGCTAGTCACTCCCTCTACACCCCCACATCCTTTCTTTCCAAAAGCCAGGGCTCCTCAATTTCTTCAGGAATACTTCAGTATATATATGTACATCCAAACAGACACAATTCTGAGCTTGGACAGTTTCCAAGAATTACAGTATTCAGAGATTGCCAGCTGGTGAATCAATTTATCTGAACACCTACAGCTGGCCAACATGTCTCATAATAGGATCTGTGTTATATATAAAAAATAATTAGCAGATGTCACGTAGCAATAGATGGCAAGTGTTGCATGCAGCACACTTTAAAACTTCGGATAGACACCTCTATCTGGCTGATGGCCCGTGCGTGCATCCACCGTCCACACAAAGCACCTTTCCTCCTCTCCTGTCCCGGATGCTTGGCGCTGCCTCCCAGAGCGCCTGTCTCAGGCCGCCACTCCCCTGCTTTCATCCAGTCCCTCCTTAAAGCCCAGCATTGATTCAGGTGCTTTGACCAGGATGGAAAACTTATTCCCTAAAATGGGTGATCAAACCATTTCCCATTCATAGTTTGCCTCACCGTAACCACAGGAAGCAGAGCCTTCTTCTTACTATCACATGATCTGCAGATTCCTCCTTTTCTGTTGCAGAATTCAAGGAGTGCAGAATTGTGCACCCTGTGCTGAAAATGCAGGAGGAGACATTTTTCTTCCTTTCCCATAATACTAGAAGCCGAGGTCATCCCATGAAGCTGATGGGTGGTAGAATCAGGACAGGTCAAATGTGGTCCTTCACACAGTGCAGGGTTTAATCATGGAATTCACTTCCACGAGATGCAGTGGTGGCCACCAATTTGGATGGCCTTAAAAGGGGATCGGACAAATTCATGGAGGAGGAGACTACTAGTCCCGATGGCTCCATGCAAGCTCCACCATCCAAGGCACTACGCTGGATGGAGTGGGGACGGGTTGCTTCATGTCCTGCTTGTGGGATCCTGTGGGCAGCTGGTTTGGGCAGTGTGTGAACAGAATGTTGGACTAATGGATGGTATGTGGTTCCCCTCCCCCTCCTCTCCTCTCCTCTCCTCTCCTCTCCTCTCCTCTCTCTCTCATATTAGATTTATATCCTGCCTTTTTCTTTTTTAAAGAACTCAAAGTAGCTTACATAATTCTTCTCTTGCTGCTCTCAGTCTTATCCGCAGAGCAACAACCCTGTGAGGTAGGTTGGACTGAGAGTCTGTGACTGGCCCAAAGTCTCCCGGTTGACTCCATGGCTGAGCAGGGACTATTTATTTATTTATTTTTCAATTTATAGCCTGCCTTTTTCCTGCAAAGGGCTCAAGGCAGCTTACATCTCCTCCTCCATCTTATCCCCACAACAACAACCCTGTGAGAAGGTTGGGCTGAGATGCTGTGACTGGCCCAAAGTCACCCAGTTGGCTCCATGGCTAAGCGGGGACTAGAACCCGGATTGCCTGAGTCCCAGTCCCACGGTCTTAACCACTACACCACACTGGCTCTCAACTAGAACCCAGATCACCAGATTCTCAGTCTCATTCTCTCAACCACTACCACACACTGGCTTCTTATATTCTAACACCTTTTTAATGTTCTTACACATTAGCTTTCAGATAATGTGGCTTCATTGTTTAGTCACTTTTAAAAATTCCCATCCCACATATTGCCAGAACAAAGAACTCAAGAATTGCAAAAACTTGCAGAGTTTGTGATCTTTTGGTTGGCCCAATAAAGGTATTGCAGACAATATGGCTTTGGAGATTTTCTTACAATCAGCATGGCTACCTTTGCATGAAAAACAATATTTTATTGTGATTTGTTATTTGGCTGTCTGAGCATCTGAACTAAGAAACCATTGCCTTAGTTCTCAGAACTAAGGAACTGTGGCCAATAAAGCTGCACATTCATTCTAATCATTTGCAGGACTAGCCCTTGACCAAATGAATGCACAGACAGGGAGTCTCTTTGGCCAGCCATCAAAACCCCCTGCCTTTCAATATCTTATTTTTATAGCATTTGTAGCCCATTTCACAACAATTTATCCTCATCCTAGATGGTGTTATATTTGCATGCAGTTCTTATCTGATCAAAGTCATGCACATTCACACCATTGAATGGACACTGAAGTGGTACATTTCCCAGACTTTTACTATTTATTAGCACGTACACATAGGTCAGCGTTCCCACCTTTACAAATAAATGTATGTTGTGTATTCTAATTGTTCCAGCTGTCGGATGGATACTGAGTTGGGAGCACACAGCAGATGCCCTTCGATCCTCACCTCCAAACCCTGGCACACCTGGATCACCTGGCCCTAAGTCAAGCCAAGCTGTGTGCCAAGCTTGTGGTATGGTATGGAATATTCCAGTTGTTAGCTCTCCTGAGCAGCAGAAGCACTCTTTTAGATCTCTGTGGGATGGAGATGGGAAAGAAACAGCTGAGCACAGGAAGATTCAGGAAGGCCCAGAACTCCACTTTTGATGCATTCAGTTGTGAAAATGCAGTTAACGGCAGTTTGTTTTGTTTTCTTTCATTTCTGTACCGCCCAACAGCTGAAGCTCTCTGGGTGGATTACAAAGATCAAAACTTTAAGAAATACATTACCAATGCCATGGACATACAAGAAAACAAATGGATACCATGCAGAGAGGCACAAATAAATCTAAAACAATCTTACGCAAACAAAAAGGAAATATTTGTTACTGATTAACGCTGCATCATATCCTGCCAAAGAGAAAAGAAAGTTTTAACCTGGCACCAAAAGATCACAACATTTGCTGTGATTACTGTCTATGGGCCTTATGCTCACAGGATCATCCAGCCAGAGGGGGCCGATAGGACACCCTTATGATGTTCCTGAAGCACCATCAAGAGGTCTCTGTTCCTTTGAAGAGCTCTAGCACTGGAGAACCCATCACCTTCTGAGTAATTTCTTCCATCTTCGAACTTCCCTTACCATCAACACATTTCTCTTAGTGTTCAACCATAACTGAGTCTCCTGGTAGAATCTCCTGGAACTTAAGCCTTGTCCTTTGGGGTGGCCATCATCCTCTTCTACAGTAGCCAGTAGTGGCAACTTGGCACTGATTCAGGAGAAGAAAGAAGCTGTAATTGGGACAAAGAACAAGACAAAACAACAACCAAACAGAGAGAGAAAGAGAGAGAGAGAAACAGACTCCCTTAAAATCAAACTGTAGTAAAATAAAATGGTGCTGAAGCAGCAGCAGCCTGAGGAAATAGTTGTGTTGAATAAGATTGGAAAGGGGGCAGACGTTTATAATCAGCCTTTTGCTCAGGATAACTGCCCAAACTTGCAAAATCACCGGTTTCAACCCCAACCACAAAACTGGCACATTTTAATGCAATTGTAGGTGTATTTAATTTATACCATATGCACGTATTGTTTCTTGCAACCCATTCCAAATTTGACACAACCTTTGCTACACGGCTAGTAAACCAACCTATCACCATGGCGTGATTCTCATGTTTGTTACACTAGAGACCTTTGGTCATGGTCCAACCCAGTCAGTCAGAAAACTGGTTGAACTGATCCTAGCTCAGGATTGTTCCTGATTTTATTAAGGTGCATAGCAGCTTGCTAAAGCACTTCTATGCTCATTAGGCCTTGCTGCCATGAATAGGTGTTGAGCAGTGCAGCCTTTATGCACTCAGAACTATAGAGGGTTTTATTTATTTATTAGATTTATATCCTGCTTTTTTCCCTTACCATGACCTCAAAGCAGCTTACCTCATTCTCCTCCTCCTGCTCTCAGTCTTATCCCCGCAACACCAGCCCCGTGAGGAAGGCTCAACTGAGAGTCCGTGACTGGCCCAAACGCACCCAGTTGGCTGGGTGGCCGCATGGGGACTCAAGCCCAGGTCACCTGAGTCTCAGTCCTGCACTTTTGAGCACTACATCACGTCGGTGGTTTAAACTCTGTGGGTCTCGTGTCCTCCAAAGCAACGCGCAGTGGGGCATTGCGGGACTGGTAGAGAATCGGGGCAGACTTGGATACTGAGCATTATCCCTGGGGCCTTCGTCCGAGCGCCAACACAGGGGGAGGTACAGAGGGTGGCCACAAGGGGGAGGGGGCTCCTCTGCACTGGTGCCCATCTATGGAACAATCTCCCTACTGAGGACCACCTGGAGCCACACGTGTTATCCTTTGGCACCAGGCCAAGGTGACCTGTTGTGCCCAGTCCTTAAAGACTCACCTGAGCACCCAGAGGCTTGTGGGAAGTACCCATCCCAGGTGTTTTCACAGAGCCATCTTTTTGTTGTTTGTTTTTAGTGGTTTTGAACTTTTTAATGCTTCCTTGTTTCTATGATATTTTATAATAGTTTATTATCTTGGATGTGAACCATCTGGATCATTTCTGCTATAGGACAGTATAGAAATGAAATAACAGCAATGGGAAAAGCTAATCTCATCACCACCTTTGGATGATGCCTATGGAACTTTTCCCATGAATACCACTTTTAGTCCTAGTCTATCTGGATATCCCATCATTTCATCTGAACTTTGTTGAAGAATGTACCTCCAGCTGCAATAGGAACAATTCATCTCACATGGAAGCATTCCAATTTAACCGGCTTTGAATTAGATTTAAATCTCTACCTCTGATGTTTCCATAGGCTCGCTGCAAGTCTACAATTAACACCATTCACAAAGATTTGTGGTCCCTTTTGCTTCTGACTTTCAAGGGAGGAAGGTGGCTAAGAGGCAGGATGTGATTCATAATGACACATTTTGTGGCTTGAATGTCTCATGTTCCATTTGTCTGAGAATAACCAGAGAAAGGACGGCAGAGAATGAAAAGGGCTGGTGGTACAGTTGTGGTGTTCAAATCCTGGTTCCTCTGCCATGCTCTAAGGTTTGGACATCATCATCTCATTGAAACATTGAGATGTAATCAAAGTGAAACAAAAAAAGGGAGTGGTTATGAATGCAAAACAATTTTAAAGTATCTCTGTTAGGGCCTCCATTCATCAACCTTCATCATCCGTCTTTTTATAATAATGTCACCATTTTTCACCAAAAAGACTGCTTAAAAGCAGAAGCAAGACTGGAGGGTCATAATGTTGCCTCAAGAAGTCACAAGTTGTGAGTAGGAAATGGCCAGCACACAATAAAATCTTCATGTAAAATAGCTTCTGATCATCTTCCAACTTTGGAAGGCTGTCACACGGATCATACAGAAAATTAGTGTTTCGTTACTTTTCTGGGTACCACCCAAATCAATGGATTCAGGTTCCAAAAAGGAAACAACAAAAAATCTATTTGACAGTAAAATAGACTGCTTCAGAAGGTGGTCGACCTTCCTTTGTTGAAGATCTTGAATCAGAGACTGGATGGCCACCTATTATTTATTTATTTATTTATTTATTTATTTATTAAAACATTTTTATGCCGCCCCATTCGCCGAAGCCTCGGGGCGGCTTACAACATAGATAAAACAAGTTAAAATCCATATAAAATAATCTTGATTAAAACTCACATTATAAAATAAGCCGCCCTGGCCAGATAAAATTCAATTGTATTTAGCATTTAAAATGTTGCTTAAATAAAAAGGTCTTAGCCTGGCGCCGAAAAACAAATAACGACGGCGCCAGGCGGACCTCTCTGGGGAGCGCATTCCATAACTTAGGCGCCACCGCTGAGAAAGCCCTTCTCCGAGTAACCACCCTCCTAATTTCTCTCACGGAGGGCTCCCGGAGAAGGGCCTCTCCCGCCGATCTCAGGGGGCGACTGGGCAAATATGGATGTAAGCGCTCCTTCAGGTAACCAGGACCCAAGCCGTTTAGGGCTTTATAGGTCATTACCAACACCTTGAATTGGGCCCGGACTTCAATGGGGAGCCAGTGAAGCTGACGGAGAACTTTTAAGGACACAGTGCTATCAGATCTCTGAATCAGAAGAACGTCATCTTTTGGATCCCTTCCAGGTGCCTAATTCTAGAAGATTTCTTCCTAAAACAAATGGCATACTTAATCTGTTATTTTTACCCTTTGCAGGATTATGTTACATTTCAGTGGTTCTTTTGTGTTATCTTGAAAGTCAAGAGTTCTGTCTCATGGTGCAAACATTCTTGGGCTTGTAACTACAGAAGGACCTTTTCCATGAAGGTTTCTTCAGTACTGACCAGTTCTAGCTCATTGTGGCCCCTCTACTTCTGCTATCGAGGATGCTTGAAGACTACAAAAAAGCAGGGTTAAATTGGGGAGTCTACTCAAAGGTTATGCAGAGTATTTTAGGGAAGGCAAGGATGGGCAGAAGGTAAATCCTGTGATATTTTGAACTTCAGCTCCCAGGCACCTGAGGCAGTATGGCCGATGATGAGGAAAGCTGGAGATACATGTTTGAAGATCTATTTCCATCTCACCTTTGATGGACAAAATGAAGGAGCTATTTCCATGTGGCTTTGGTCTATGCTGCCCTGGAAGCATTTGGAATCTTTGAACGATGTCTTTAGGTCCTATTATGGCCTATCCTACATGCTTACTACCCAGTCAAGAGCAGCATAACAATTGGGCAAGAAGGACAAATTCTGCTATATTGGCCCAAAGGCTATTTGTCACTGATCAGAGATAAAACCTTTTTCCTGTGGGACGGAGACCAAAGTAAGAAGCTTCTGGCTGAGTGCGGGAATCAGACACAAACCTTGGCTTCAATTCAGTTTTGGACAATGCCTTGAACTTTGACTTCCGCAGATTACTAGCACTGTATTCTCATGGTTCCTCATTTATGTATTTATTTAAAAAATTGTACACTGTTCACTCAGCCATGTCAGCTCTTTGAACAGTTACATTCAATAAAATACCAAAACATAATGTGACACACTAAAAACAGAATAACAGTCAATAAAACATTCCAGTTAAACAATAACTAAAACTAACCAGAACAATTTGAAATGTCATTAAGCAAATTAACAAAAGTCCCAGTAGAAAGCAAAAATAAAACAAAAACTAAAGCAAAGAAGCAATAGGTGTTAATTGCCATCTAACCATTAAAATGCTGAGAAAATGGAAAGTTTTTTCCTGGCACTGGAGCATATACAGCATCAGCACCAGATTTACTTCTCTGGGGAGTGAGTTCCATAGACAAGGTGCCACTGCTGAAAAGACCCTTCCCTAAGTAGCCACCCTCCTCACATCCTTTAAGGGTGGCTCCTGGAGAAGGACCTTGAAAGATTATCTTAAGGCACAAGAAGGCATATATAAGTGCAAGTGGCATATACACACATGCAAACAGGCATGTGGTACACATTTGGCACATGCACACAAGCCCTAAGGCACAATCATTAATAGAAAACCCCCAGAGTAAGACATGCTCACCCCTTCATGAAAGGCACACCTGCAGGGAGCTTCTGGTCTTGCTCAGGGATGTGTCTGTGAGAAACATCCAAAAGCAGGCAGGAATCTGAGTCTGTGCTTGATGTACCAAGTCTGCCTTTGCTGGTATTTTATTGTTGCTAGGTGAAATCAACCATCCAAACATCCATGCCAAAGGAAGATAAAAGTCTGTCTTGCTCTGTTGCAATATATCTGGAATACTGTATGCCTCAGAATCTTAGTTTAAGAGTCATGGATTTTTACCATCAAAGCTCTGATGAAGGCAGAGTTACGTTGTGTTGTATTGTGTGTGTGTGTGTGTGTGTGTGTGTGTGTGTGTGTGTGAGAGAGAGAGAGAGAGAGAGAGAGAGAGAGAGAGAGAGAGAGAGAGAGGAGAGGGGGCGGGGAGAGAGAGAGGGAGGGAAGGAGGGAGGGAGAGGAGAGAGAGAGAGAGATTTTTTCAGGACTAATGCCATAGTTCAAGTATTCTAGAGTGCTCATACTTGTTTTTTTTAGCATGCAGTCCTGTGTGTGTTTAGATGGAAACATGTCCTACAGCTTCCAGCATCACCCAGCCCAGATTTGTAGGGCTTTATGCCTGAACATGCATAGGTCCCCGATCTAAACATTCATTCCCCCCATAGGAACTGTCATGCGCCTGATGTTGAGATGAGCTTTTTCCTTCTGGTAGGAAGGCTTACGGGCCATGGTGGCTTGCTCTTCACCAAGCCTGATGCCAGATTTCACGGACCACTTTGTTCAGACAGTGCGCTCCAGCTGGACAGTGGCCCAGGATCAGGCAAGTCTCAACACCCATGAGCAGAGTGCTGCTCAAGAACTCCTTGCCAAAGATTTCAGCATTCCTCTTGCAGAGTCTGCCAAGAATTAGCACTGCAAATTCCCAAGAAAAAAGAAGAAACAGAAAACAAACCAAAGAACCCCAATCTGGCTTCTGACTTCTGTTTGGGGCTTAGTTTTGCTTGTGGACCAATTTCCTATCACTGTGGAGAGCAGGTGAATGTGCTCTTTCCCTCTTCTTATCAAGCACAGAACAAAACATTACAAGTGGGATTCACGTATTGAAACTTGTTCAGTTATAGAACAGTGTAAATACAAGAAACTTCCACTAGAGCAGAGGGAGACGCATCCTCCCAGGAGATGTCCCCACATGGGAACATCCCCTCCTTCTCTCCCCTTCAGTAATGCTTCTGACTCCACCCTGGATCTTGCTGCTTGTAGGCAAGATGTTGGGAATTCTGGATATGTCATCATTGGACTGCCCGAGTGGGACAAGGAGTTCTTCCGGCATCCGCTTCCCCTCCTATCCTGAAAAAATGTCCACCCTTGCCAAGGTAGTCAGATTCTCACGCTCTGCCCAAGAAACTTCACTAGGTAACCTTGGAACAAGTCACCCCCTTCCACCTCCTCTTCTGAACTGAACGAATCTACCTGAGCAGACGTGGGTGTGAGAGATGGGCCCACTCTCTGCAGTAGCTAGTTTTTTTTCTCCCAGGCTATACCTCCTACCTTGGACTTGTTCATGCAGTTAGGAATGGGTGAATCTGTGAATGTTAAAATCTCTCAGTCCCTTATTTCCTAATCTTGAATTCAGTTAGCCCCAGACTTCAAGAAACAACTTCTCAAAAAATCCATGCATATTTTTACATCGATCTCTCCTACCACATTAATTCTTAATGCAATATCAATTAATATCCGCATTGTGTTGCAAGCCATTTTCCAGATATAATGCATTTCTGAATGTCATTTTTCATTAATACATGCATGTTTGTGCACATTTGCCCCTAATAAATTCATTGTTTGATGGGAGAATGCCATCCGAAAATCCAAGGAAGTGTGACATTTAAAAGATAACTGTGTTTCACCTTGCATATTGCTAGAGAAGTGTGAAATTACAGTGAAACGTGAACGAGTCAAATTTGTCCTTCATCCCAAGGGTGGAACCATCAGTTCTGGTGGGAACATCACACCCACGTCCTCAAAAGCTTCGCAGTCTCTACCTCCACACAATCCAAGGTAGCTACTTTCAGCGTCGTGTGTTTCCTCCTCACCCTCAATTAATATCTCCCCAAATCTATGGCAGCTGGTTAAAAATTCTTGCAGCTAAATGAGTTTTAGAAAAGGATTTTTTAAAGAAATTGGTAAAATATTGAATTTAAATATTGAAGTTTGCCCTGGATTTGCATTATTGTTAATATTTAGAGAACAGATGGGGCAAAATATGAAAGAATTGATGATAAATTTATTAACAGCAGTAAGAATAATAATAGCAAGGAATTGGAAAACAAAAGGTGCCTATCATATAGCTGGCTGATATAAAGAAGTCTGGAATATGGCTATTAATGAAAAGTTAACTTGTGATATTAAATGGAAAAAAGACTTGACAAGTGAAAATAAATTTGAAAATATTTGGAACCCTTTTATGGAATACATTTTAAGAAAGGAAAGGGGTGTGAACCGTAAGAGTTGATGCAGTTCTGGAAGGGAAGTGGGGCAACCTGAATGAATAAATGATGTTACATTTAGTAATTAGAGTTGTTGGTCCTGGTGGAGGTCGCACTGATGTTGACGTGTTGTTTGATCAGTGATGTTTAGCCACAATGGTTGCTATTGTGTTAAAAGGAGGAGAAAAAGAAGGAGAAACAAAACAAACAAAAAACGCTTGTTTCTCTGGGACCCAGTTAAGACCATGCCATTGGGATTCCCAATGCATGCCATCACTCCCTTTCACCTTCTCCAGCCCCACAACTTGATTCCCATTTTCCGGTCCCTTCCAACCAGCTTTATCAGCCCATTGTGGTGACACCCCCATAGCATCAAGCCATTAGCTGACGTTCCACAATTGGACGAAGTTGAGTGGATAACCCCTGATAAATAATTCAACCAGGTTCTGCCTAGTGGGAAGTAAAATTGACCCAAATCAACAGAAAGGTATAGGGAGCTAGGGGAAATGACAAGAAAGGTATCACAGTTGCTTAGCAACATCCCCACCATTCAGGGAGAGAATCTTCTTTTGGCAGGGGGCTGCAGAAGGGGGAAAGAAAGAAAGAAAGAAAGAAAGAAAGAAAGAAAGAAAGAAAGAAAGAAAAGAAGTGATGGTGAAAAAATGATTCTATAAAAGCTCATTACAGCAGAATTTGACAAGGGAATTGAGCTAAAAACTCAGCTAGGTCAGCCAAAGACACTGTTTAAAATACTGCTGTAATACACTGCAGTGATTTAAACTGGAGGAATGGAGCACATTTTCTTGTCAAATCCTTCCTCAGGATTCCAACTCAGGTAAATTCTCATTGATTTATTTTCTAATCTCACAAGAAGAAGAACAGGATCAGATTAAGCGATAAAACCTAATATTTATCTCATCCTAGCATGGCAATCCTTGTCCCAAACGTGAACTACAGGGCTGATTCATGCAATACATTTTTTCCCCATCCATGTGAGCAAATTTCAGCTGTCCTTGTCTTCACCCTCTTCTAAGCAAATAGAATTTGCAAACGAGGCAATCACAGCTGCTGGGCTGGCGCCAGAATCTGCCTGCCACAGACAAAGGGGCTCCACACACTGAAGGTGCCCTTGCGCAGTTTTGGGGGGCTCCCCCTCCTCAGCACCATCGCTCGTCTCCTTCGGCAAGGTCTCCTGATTCCGTGTAGCATTTCTAGGAGAGTGGACACTCTGCACATACCATGTTGGCATGACAAGTGGACGTTGCTCGGACGAAGCTTTTCCCGGTGTGAAAATGAACAGAAAAGCCCTGCTGGATTAGACCAATATCGGTCCTTCCAGTCCAGCTGCTGTCCATGCAGTGGCCGGACAAGCTTCCCGCAAGGAGCTTATGAGTCTGATCCTGCTCTCAGGATCTAGGGCCAGGATGCGGGGGGCCGGAGACAAGACTGGGACTGGGACCAAGGCAACCGAACTTGAGCTGATGCACCGAAGTCCTAAAGCAAAGTTTAATGGCAAACCCAAGCCATAGCCAAAGAACAGGCTGAAATCCAGAACACGGACATGGTCATGGACAAGCATTGGATCGAGAACCAGGCGAACAGACAGAGGTGCAGGTCCTCTGAGGCAGGACAAACTGGGCAGGATAACTGAGCAAGGCAGGACACGTAGCAAGGTCAGGCAAGAGGCAGGTGTGACAACAGACCAAGGGACCCCTGATGCTGAGGCAACCAGGCAAGGCGGAAGGCAGCAAGATGTAGGAACCAGGTGCCGAAAGGAGCGGGCAAAGTGCGGGCGCTCAGCCAACAGGACGACCTGCCTGGCTAAAGCCCGTTCTCATCAGGAGACTGAGAGCAGCAGCAGGGCCTGGGAATGACCCTGCAAGTATGATGCCGGTTTCATGGAAAGGCTGGTTCTCAGCACCGGAGCAGCCCAGATCCTGACATCTGCCCAAGTTCTGCAGAAGCTGGTGTACACAGCCTCTGATCCCGGAGGCAGCACACAACTACCAAAACTAGTAGCCACGGATAGCCCCCTTCTCCATGAATATGTCCAATCCCCTTTTGAAGCCCTCGCAAGTGGTGGCCATCATGATAGCCATGCAAAAGAGTTCCATAGATCTGGATCTCTTGGCCTGGCCACTTTGGTTGTAGTATAATGGGAAAACAAAACATGATAAAACACAACAAAACAAAAGAGGCTCCCTCTCCACTTCTTCCATACTGTGCCAAATTCTGATCTCTTCTATCAAGTCTGCCCTGACATGTCTTTTTTCCTAAGCTGAATGATCTCAGAGGCAGTAGCACAGTGAGAGAAACTGTACCATCAACCAAGAAGCGACTACCATGTGTGTCACAAAGCCAGGGCTAATGGGGATATAACACTGACACTTTTTAAATCAGCAGGGATGCTGACATCACCCCCACACCACACACACACACACGCATTCCTTGTTCACTCTGAGCTACACACATGGTAGCTGGATAGCAAATAAATTCTCCCAGCAACAATATATTGCTCTTAAGGGTAACACAAAGGATTTTGGGCTGGATAGGCCTTGGATGGGCAATGAAGACTCATTCATTTTGCAAAACAGACACACACAATAAAACAGAACTTGAACCAAATGCAAATGCGAAAAGACCCCCCTGCAAAAAAATCCCCAAACCAAACCAAGCCCCCCCAAAAAACTAACTGCTAGTGGAAGTATCTAGAACTGAATAGTTGATATGGATCAACAAATAGGCTGATGTTTTGGAGCATTCCTGAGGCCATAGCTCTGAGGACATGATGAGCAACTGCAAGCCAACATCACTGGAGG